ACATTTCGTGTATTATATTTAGCTGTATCACCAGATGGTGAATCAATAGTGACAGGTGCAGGAGATGAAACACTTAGATTTTGGAATGTATTTACAAAATGTCGTGCTAATAAAGAATCCGACAGTGTCCTTAATTTATTTAACAAAATTCGATAATAATCATTATTTTAGTCTTTTTCCTTTTTTTTTTTCTCTTCATTTATGTATGATGATATCAGTGCTCACACTTTCACAACAGTCGAACGTTTCACTATTTATTTATTTATTATTCTTCGTTGTCTTGTAGTCTTTTCGTTTTTCTTTTTTTTTCTCATTTTATTTCTGGTTTTTTTTTTGCTCTTTTCAGCGTTTTTCTTTTTCATGATATTGTTGCTTTATAATATGAAGTTGACGAGTGTTTTTTTTTTTTTTCTTCATTATCATGTTCATTTTTGTTTCGCTGTGAGTGTAAATGAAATTTAAAGAAATAAGAAAGAGACAAAAAAAAAACACTGTTATAATATTGGTTTTTTTTATGTATTTAATTCTTGATTTGAAATATGATTAATTCAGTGGAATAGGACATGAGGGAAAGTTTCGAAACGTTAACTTATCTATACATTTTTATTGATTTGTTACTATCAAGAAAACTCGAGAATAGATAATGAATGCTAATTTAGTAAATTTTCCTAGTCAATGTCAGAATAAACGTTTTGAAGATTAAGGTTTGTTTTTAGTTATTTGAAAATGTTTCAGCTATTCATTTTTGATTCTATAATAGAGCAATTATAATATGACCTTTTTGCTTTTAGTTAGGAGTAAAATGATTAAAATCATAAGTAAATATCTTAAAAATTAGTATAGATGTCATCGAAAGTTTATAGATAAACTTCTATCATATAATATATTGATTTTTGTTATAATCTTTATATATTTACTAACTCAAACTTGATGAATTACATTTGAAAAGTTAGTAGAATGTTCTTATAATATGTTTATATTTTGTGTAATTATTCAGGAAATCCAGAAGGAAATTCCTGAAAATGGGAACGAAAAAATCATCGTTCAACAAAAATTCTTTGATTAAGATATAGCCTAGTTACTCTAGATCATTAAACATTCAATATCACTTTATTAATATTAAACAGGCGTAATACTAATCATGTTTTTTTTAAATCGGCGTGACCAAGTATTACGGAATTTCCCATTGATTTTTCTTTAGCTAAAGCTGAGTTATTTTGAAAATATCGATCGTTACGAAATTTCAAAAAATGAAATTTTTTTAGTGGATATGAATGTTTAGCATTTTACTAAGAAATGAAGTTGTATAAAAATCAACGTGTTATATAAAAGTTGTTCAGGTTTCAACAAAGTTTTTCCGAATATCAGATCATTTCTTGATAAGCATAACTACATTGAATAACTAATTAGTTAAAAATAGTATTCGTTACTTAATTTCATCTTTTTCTAGAAAATCACAGTTTGGACCAGAATAAAAGCAATTAGATGTTCATCAGCAATATCATATTTTGCATGAAGTGATTTAGTTTTCACAAGAATCTAATGACAAAAAAAAATGTTCAACTTTTTCTATCCGAGTGAGGTTCGAGAAAAATAAAAGTTGAAATTATAATTAACAAGTACTCGTATTCTGTTCAGAATTTGATGTTAATCCCAACTATATCTAAATATGTACATACTACTTATGAACAAAAAAACAGTGTAAAATACTTTATGGTCTAACGACATAGCAAAATAAAAATACTAACGAAACTTCGACACACACTATTTCGAGCAAGCAAATTCGAATATTAAATCAAACAGTATTCAAAATGGATGTATGTAATAGAGTTTTATCTAGGGAAGTCATTTTTTTGCGAAAATTATCAGCATAATATTGATCAATCCTTGTTTGACGATATATTCCATAATCATCTTTTACACAAATATACGAGTTATTCACTCAAAGAAATATTTCATGTATTCAGAACAGTCAATGCTGCTCAGGAATAGAAACGCTTCCATTTAAAATCCTATTGATCGTTTTCTTTTCAATAGTAGACTCAGATTTATTCACGTTTAAGTTCACACTTTATACATATGTAAGTGATTCATTGTTAGTTATATCGAAATGTAAAAAAAGAAAACTTATTTTTACTTTATAAACTATTTTCTTTAGATGTCCGAGAATATTAACCAACAAGTAGAGCGTCAACGTATTATCATTGTACCAGGTATGGGTTGTGTACCTGTACGAGATTGTAATTGGTATGCATGGCTTGAACAAGAACTTCAAAAGGATCCAAATGATCGATTTTCTGTTATTCTTGAAGATATGCCTGATCCTCATAGTGCTCGTGAATCTCGATGGGTACCATTTATTCGAGATAAACTAAAATTTGATGAAAAAACTATCTTAGTTGGACACAGTTCTGGATGTGAAGCTATTATGCGATTGATTGAAAAACATAAAGTTCGTGGAGTGATACTCGTGGCAGCCTGTCATACTGATTTAGGTGATGAAAATGAACGAGCAAGTGAATATTATAATCGACCATGGTATGTTAGTTGTTATTTTAATGAAAATGATACAAAAAATTAATTAAATAAATTTTTCAAGGGATTGGGATGCCATACGTGCCAATACAGAATGGATTGTTCAATTTCATTCTCCAAGTGATAAACTTATTCCAGTAGCAGAAGGACGTTTTGTTGCAGATAAATTAAAATCTGAATATATGGAATTAGAACGTCGTGGTCATTTTATGAGTAAACAATTTCCAGAAGTGCTATCGACGATTAAGAAAAAGTGTTGTACTTCATAATGGTTGTATTTGATGTTCAATTTTTATTTTCTTCTTTTTTTTCTTTTTGAAGTTGATTAAGTAGAAAGACGAGTCTATGAAGAATTGTAATAAAAAAAAAACACTACAACCTAATGTATCAATCATATTTTTTCTCTTTAAGGATCATTCCAAAAAGCAGTTTTTTTTTAATCAGTGTCACGATGATATTGAGCAAGAAACAAAATAATTGTTGAAAACTTAAATAAGAACCTCTTCAAGATTTTTTTTTCATTATTCATATAAGAATTTTAGATCGATTAAAACATTTGTTCAAGTGATTAGAATACTACAAATTTCAAATGAATAAAAGTAAAGAGAAAACAAAATATATTCTCTATTTTTTTGTTTAAATCAACGAAGAAATAAGCACATCCTATGTTACTCGAAATCGATAATATTGTCTGCAGATGTAAACTTTTTATTGACATTTATAGTAATGTGCAAAAGTATCTTTCCTAATTGAACTTAATCAACAGGAATAATAAGATGAGAATTTTTTATTATTTAATAGTTTCTAGTACTTTTCTCTGATTAATGTAGTATAAAGTCACTATTATTTTCAATAACTTCATAAAGTTAGTGGTTTAAATTTCATTTTGAGGGGTTTTTACACATGCTTGACGAATACAAGCTCAAAGGACATCGAGTTTTTTTAATTACATTATTCATTTTCTATTAGACTGGTAGTTTCGATATGTATTGAATGTTGCTGTTTTCTTGAAGTTTCTACAACATCAAATTATGACCAAGCTATTTGATTTATTAGTTTTGTAGTGGGACTTTTAATATCATCTAAATATGTTCAACGTTCTTGAGCTACAGTACGCACTCTTCATGTTTTAGATATACATTTGTTGTGAGAACTTGTGGTGACTTTGGTAGTGTTACATGAGTATGGAAGAATCTCTTTAATAATGAGATTTATTTTCTCATACAGTCGAAAATAATTTCTTGCATCTCTATCACTCAAGATTTTGAGACTCGTGGAAAATATTCATAAGAAGAACAAAAACTCATCGTGATAACAATAAGGATTTTTTAATTGATTATAATGATCTAAGGATTAGTTTTAATTAATAAGCTGATCCCATCGATTGATGAGCCTTGATAAAGATATCTAATACTGTTCGGCGTAATAACCATACGAAAATTGATATAAATCATTTGTTGAAACTTGACTGTATCATCTCCAAAAGTTATTTAACCGTAGCTGCTATTAAGAATAGCAGTTATAGTTAATCTGTTACCATTGTTTTTGAGTGAATCAAACGATAGTCTCATTCGACAATTGCATATATTCAAGGAAGATATATTAAAGTCTGATCTACACTGACCAAATGTATAATTATCCAGTTGGTATGTAACTAAGCGTATAATTCTTAAATGAGATCGAAATGTGAAATCTAGCCAATATCGCTTAAATCTTTTGCTAATAAAATTATTCAAGTAAAGCTCTATGAAAAAATTAATGTCAACCAATCGATATCAAATATGACAATAATCTTCTGAAACATACAATGATTAAATAATTTAATGTAAATCATTTATATATAAACTCATTAATGAACATATGGTACATAGCGAAAATATTGAAGTTTTTTTTTATATCTTATGCATTGGTTAATAGGCATAAAAAGTCAAAATTTACCGACTTCACAAGGTCTTATGTCTGTCTTCTTAGATCTTTATCAATTCAGTGACGTATTCAAGATCAGTATCATCGTAATGGTAAACTAGAAGATTTTCGCTTGAAAGTAAATTCTAAAAACATGCTTTTTAATCTTGATGTATAAAGAGTAAGAAGAAATCCATAGAACAATCCCAATTATTAGAGCTTGTAAAAATTTCTCTGCCTGACTGAATATAGATAAATGTATTAATAAGATCTTGTCCTTCTTCAACATTCTGTCGTATAATAACGTTTTTTGTTATTTCTTGCTATATCTTGTTGGATATAAAAAAGAAAAGGATAAAGATAACACATTTTTTTCCTTCCTTATGCTAGATCTTTTTTCCTCATGAGTCAAAATTCGCAGAGACATACCAACCGTAATTGTATCCGTCCAGAACGAAGAAGAAAAAAAAACCCACCATCTCCTTGATGACGTATATTATTATACACAACATAGGCAACATCGTCAAGTATAAGATTCACATCCTACATAAATACTCAGTATGTCGATAACTTCAAAAAAAATATCACGATTAGAAAAAGAAGCAATTCTACGTGCCAAAGTAACTTTTCATTTTGCTACATTTTCTTTAATGTTTATATATTTTTATAAAATTTTCTTAATAATGAAAGGATGCTGAATATAAACGTGAACAAGCAGCAAGTTTATTTACGAACTCAGCTCAAGATGAAGAAGAATTTGAAAATGATCGTCATCGACGTCATTCAAAGATGAGACAAACACGTCAAATACAACGTGAAATTGACCGTCAAGTAGGAATGATAGATAAATTCAACGAACGAAGACAACAAGAATTACAAAAAAAACAAATACCAACTACAACAACGTCAAGTAAATTTCTTTGTTTAATTAGCATACAAATGTTCAATATCGTATTCTAGCACGAAGTTATCTTACATCTTTATCATCATCATCATCGTCAACAGCATCATCGGCAACTGATCGAGCTAATCGTGGTGGAGGAGCTACAGAAAAATACACAACTACCAAACATACTAGTGGCAGCAAACTCTATTAAAACAATCATTCATATCAGCATCAACAAAAAACCTATAAAACTTGATTTTTTTTCTAATTCACATTCATTTTTATCAACATATTATCTTAAAAAAGTTGTCAAACCTTGTAGCGTCAACACATCCTTAATCATAAAATGTATATTGATTTCTCCTAAGTTTCAACAAAAAATCTTATTCAATCATAAGTATTTTAAACTTAATATTGTTATTTCATAAAAAGAGAAATGAAATTTTTCAATAATAAAAATTCATTTTAATTGAACTTCACTATGATTTATCTTAGAAATAAAATATTATCTATTTGAAATTATTTACTTTTATTTAGTCGTGAATCATGCAATTAGTTATGAACAAAAAAAGCTTTTCGTGAGGTATCCATTGGAAGATGCATTTCAGAACATCTCGAAAGAAAATTACTTAAGATTTTGTTCTGAAAACTAGCATCAGTTTTTTTCTTTGACATTGAACAGAATTGAACTTGAAAAAATTCAAACTCTATCATTAAATACATGTAATTATATCCAAAAATTCTAATTCTACAAGATTAGTTGCCGTACAAAGAACTTGACATAATAATAGGAATTCGAAAAAGATAAATTTATCAAAAGTTAACCTATTACCAAGAAATAATTCAATTCATTTTAGTGTTTCAAATTCACTTGAATAGCGTAGTGAAATAATATGATTAGCCGTTATTTTATGATAGTTAAGAGAAATTAATTCAAAATAATATTTGGATATGCATTAAAAATTCAGATGATAAATTCAAAAATGAATGACACAGAAAACCATCAAAACAAGTATTGAGAACAACGAAAGAATAAAATGAATCACTTTTGAATAAAAACTTTTAAAAAGACTTAACAAGAATTTATTAGATAATGCGTCAACCATCTTTCTTTTCAAATATATAAATAACTATTTCATATTTCACGTCATACTTCAGCATTGATTTAAAAATAAAAGACAAAATAAGATAAGAAAACATATTGTTCTATTCTCTGTTCGAAATTTGAAGTCCATTTTTAACTTTAAAACAAAATACTGTAAGATTCATTGAAATATTTTTCGTTTTGTTCACTGATTTGTTTTTCTTTTACTATTAAATATGAGATACTTATACAATGATTCTTTTAAATCTTTTTTTTTCGCTCACTATCTTGTGCATTCATTGTTGCGTCAAATTTCTTTCTTTATTATTTTATTTTTAGATATACAATATATATATGTATATATATTTGAGTAATTCATTTTTAGTTGGTTAAGGTGTATTTTATTGCTTTTCGTCCAGTTTTGATTAAAGAATGCCATCAAAGCATATATAATGATTTAATGGCAGACCGTTTCTACAACTAGGCAGCATTTTTTTAAAAAGATAGCTTTTTAGTATATTACTCGAAAAAACAGAAGAAACCACTAATCATTTTAATTTATAAACAGTTTAATTTAATGTATGTAAGACATTCACACGTGTAAAAAAAGGTAACTCTGCAATATGTTTAAAATCCTACTTTTTTTTTGTACACAATATGTTTAAAATTATTTCTGTATGACCTGATATCGTTTTTATATCAGCGCTTATATTATAAATTCTTATTTTCTGCCATGAATGATTGAACTTTTCTATGTATGCAATGGTTTTAAAAGTAACAAAGACAATTAAACGAAGGTTTCGATCTATTCGACTTGGCTACAGAAAAATAAAAACTAATCTAATTAATTTTTTTTAAAGATCAAACTCACTAATATAGCTCTAAAATTGCAGTCGATTTCATTGTAAAAAGAAAATCAAATCAAACTAATATAAAATTTCTAGTTGCATATATCGTGTGAGATATGTTTGTAAGTATTAGATAGTTTAATTAAAAATAATCCTTATTTGAAATGATTTCTTTTATTTGTATATGTGTCAGTACTTTTTATCTTAATTGATTCTTATAATTATAGAAATTAGATTCAAAGTTTCGGTTTTCAATGTCTCTATTGTTTTACAAAAGAAGTAACTATATGTACTCAATTAAGTATAATCAAGATACAACAATATAATATCCTTATATCTGAATACATCTTTCAAGCTTACTTCACATCATCCGACTTTTAAAGTTTATATCTTCCCTCTTGCATGATCCAAATACTACATAGTCAGTTTTAGAGAATGAAATCCAGCAAGGACGATTTTAATATTTCAAAATATGCAGTAAAATTTAGATAGTTTGAGCTTCGAAAACTCAACAACATTATGAAAAAGCTTGCAACTCGAAAAAAAAATTTTATTAATAAAGCAACTTTGTGGCACAAATGTTGTGTATTCTATGAGTTATTAAGAAATTATCATTTAAGAAAAATAAATAATTCGAAAATAAAATTTTGTTAGCGTATGAATTGACCAATAGTTTCTTCCGAGGTGAAGATTAGTGTCCCACAATCAGGTCGAGTACTGAACACTCAATCCGACTTGATCTGGAGCCTGAGCCCGAATACCAAATTGTCGGATCAATTTGAGTACCGACTATGAAAATAATTGTCACACTAGGTGCAGATTTGAAATCATACCCAATATCTTATTCGGCAATGAAACAGATTTCATCGCTTCAAAATATGTCTACTTTTTGAAATTGCTATTTATATGAAAACATAGAATTGCAACCCGGTTCAATCATGATTGAACAATTAATTGTAATTGAGAACAGATTTACTCACGTGGAAAGTAATATCGTTTTACTAAGATACTTCATTTTTAGTGAAAAATTTGTTTACAAATGTTGATGCGTCACATAAAGAAACAACTGAATACATGAAGAAGAAAATGAGCTATCGAAAAGGTGAACATGTATTTTCGTGTTAGAAAAAGCATATTAACATTAGATATCATTTTAGCTTGATCAGCAAAGAGGTATGACAGTTGAGCTTTAGTTCCTCTGTCAGGAGCTGTTCGAACAGTTCCTTTGAGAGGAGCTGATTTGATTGGACAATTCTTTTGATAGGAGACGAACTTTTTGTCTAGTTCTTTTCAAAATAGCTCATCTCACAGAACAGCTCTTTTCCATAAAGGCCTATCCTACAAGGGTACCCGAAGGTCATCAAGAACTATCCTATAGGGGATACCCAAAAGTCCTCAAGGGCTATCCTATAGAGCTACGCATAGGTCCTCAAGGAGTATCCTGTAAAGCTAGGGATATGTCCTCAATGTCTATCCAATAGGAGAACCTATAAGTCTCTAAGCCCTATTCGATGGAGGTGTAGATAGTTCCTGAAGGGTTGACCTATGGGGATACTCATAGATCCTCAAAGGCTGTCATACAAGATTAATGATAGGTCCTGCAGGGCTATCGTTTGGGAATAATCGTGGGTAAAGGTGCGACAGTTCATATTTAGTTTCTTCTGGAGTAGTTGCTCGAACAGTTCTTTCGATAGAAAGCGGATCTTACTAGAACAGCTGGTTTCAGAGGAGGTGCTCGAATTCAACCTGAAGTGGCAGGTTAACTTTAAAAACAGTTTCACTTCAGGATTATAGTTAAAGTGGCATATTTTAGTGCGTTGACTTTGAAGAAATCAAGGTGAAATTAGATATGTTGAGACAAAGAATGAATGAATTTCGAGAAAAGGTTTGTTTTCTGATAATCAAGATGCTCCATGAACTTGTCTTTACCAGTTAGAGAGGCTTGTCGTTATCCTTTATAAATTCATAAAGCAGCCCTTCGATTCATCCTGTCTACAAGAGGAAGAATTTTTCTGTAGTCTGATTAGTTGTTTTTTTTAGTTAATCAGATTCGAGTGGATTGGCGCGTCACTATGCTGATGGAAAAGCATACTGTTGTTCTGGCCATAAGAAAGAGAATGCCTATAGCCCTAGGATTGGCCTCAAGGATAATATATTGTATCCTTACAATAACAGATACATCAGGTTCACTGATTTTTCAGTCACTTTTTACTCAGAAGCTAGTAGTGTCACCGTTATGAATTGCTCGGTAAGATAACGGTAACTTCTTTTGCTAGAACCACTTGAAATTTATTAAAAGCAAAGTTGAAGCAAATTGTTGTGAGGGAACAACCAAGTGACATTCGAAAAACGTTTTTTATTTTTTATTTTAAGGGTTCTGCATGATCTTTTCTTGGCCAATCAGGGGTTTATCATCATATCATGTTGGTTGGTCAACACAGCCCTGTTTTATGTCGCCTATAATGGACGTAGTTTTTAGAAACGCGAATTTCTTGAAGGTGTGAGTGTGAGCGTGAGTATTTTTTTCTCTATTCAGACCTACATCAACGACTACACCCAGACTTCGAACCCACAAATCCACACCGCCCACACTCACATCCAGCTCTTTCAGTCATCTGTTGCAAGCTTCGGAGCTGCATCTGTGAGATACCTAATGGTGAATAGAACTTTGATCAAAAGAAACGCAAACTTCATTCAAGTTTCCTAACCGGAATTCGTTCCGAATAATACTAATTGTGCACTAAAACCATTCCATAACTTAACTCAATTACCTTCAGTTAAGCAAAGCAGTCCAATCTGATTACCTTAAGTAAAACTGAACTGCACTCCTTTTAGGTTACCCTCTAACAAAGTATCTCCTACACTGAAAGAAGAATACGTACAATATGGAACTTCCATTGGTTGTCATAATTGAAACTAACTGTGAAGAATTTTCCCTTTGTCGTTCGGACCGACGAAACCATTTCAAAGCTCTGTAATCTCTTTCGAAACTCTTCAAAAGTTTACGAATGTTTAGAAGGACTTCGTATAGACGTTCGGCAATAGAAAGTGGTCTCCGATTCGTTTAATCATCAAAATCATTGTAACTTTCGAATAACATCTATTTTGCTTTAAATCTGCCACATTCACCACTAAACCATGATTGACGAACAAGTAGCGTTCGTCGAACAGCTACATGCCGAAAGCCTAAATGACTCTCAAACTGTGTCACTATTACCAGCAGATATCGGTGGAACCATAATCAACACCCGACATACCTTACCCAGAGAGCTGTTGGAG